GGTACCACACCCGCAGATAACAATTTCTGGAATATTAAAGTTAAAGGTTGGCTGTTGACTTCATGGTCAAGATATGATTTGGAGTCAGGGGCTCTGGGCAAGATGCAAGATCTACCATTCTCGAGACCTTCTTAACTTCCTGCACGTAGTGCACTTGTAAATGTGTGATGACACTCACTTGCTACATACATAGCTGCTGTGCTGCAAGAGCCCTGGATGCATAGTCTGCAGGATTGTCTTCAGAAGCCACATATCGCCACTGAACAGATTCTGTGCTTTGTTTAATTCGCTGCACTCGGTTGGCCACAAAGTCATGGAACCTTCTGGCGTCATTATTCACATATCCAATGACAACCTTAGAATCTGTCCAGAAATATTAATGTAAACAGTCAACTTCAAGTTCTCCTTTCAGTAAGTCACTGATACAAACAGCTGTGACAGCTGCTGACAGTTCCAGTCTTGGTATAGTAGTGACCTTAATAGGTGCAACTCTTGACTTCCCCATGATTAAGGAGCAATGAGCTTCTCCCATTGTGTTCACTGTTCTGAGATATGAGCACACTCCATAGCCTGATGTGCTGACGTCCGAGAAATGGTGGAACTCATAACACTGGACATTAAAGCCTTTAGGAATATAGCATCTTGGTATCATGATGTTAGCTAGGTGTTGTAAGTCCATCAGCCAGAATTCCCACAATAGCCTAAGGTCTTCAGGTAAAGCATCATCCCAATGAAGCTTGTCTCGACACATCTGCTGCAGGATCTGCTTTCCTATCACAAAGCCAAGTGGGTCATACACTGAGGTGACTGTGGACAACACACCTCTTCTGGTAAGTGGATTGTCTTTGACAACTACTCTAAACTAGAACTGATCAGAGGCCACGCACCATTGAACACTAAGTTCCATTTCTACTTGGGGCCCTCCAAGTGCCAGGTCCAAATCTTTGGTGCCTTCTGCATGTTCTTCTTTGGGGATTGAGTGTAGTACTTCCTTGCAATTTGAGACAAACTTATGAAGATGGAGTTTACCCATGCTGCAGAGATCTCTTGCTTCCTTTACTAACTGGATTGCTTGGTCTTTGGTTTCTGAACTCACTAAACCATCATCCATGTAAAAGTTCCTTTGAATGAACTGGACAATGTCGTCACTGAACAGAACGCATCCTATTGGGGCAAGGTGCATCAAGGTGCACTCAGTTATGTCATGTTAACTTACTTACAGTAAGTGGAAATTAGCAGGAGAACATTTTAAAACAAATTTGAGGAATACTTCTTTACACAGCGTGTAGTTAGAGTATGGAATAGTCTTCCTGATAGTATAGCGGAAGCTAAAACCCTGGGTTCCTTTAAATCAGAGCTAGATAAGATTTTAACAACTCTGAGCTATTAGTTAAGTTCTCCCCAAACGAGCTTCTCCCCAAACGAGCTTCTC